CGCCGCCCCTTTTTTTCTCTCATTTTTTTTACAGCTTAATCGCCATGAACGCCATCGTTTTAACTGTTACTTGGATCTGCTATACTAATTTTTACCATACTGTTGCAGGGATATGGTACAGGCTGATGAGTCGGGTGTAGAGTTGTATTCTTCTAAGGAAACAAGGTGACGTTCACTACCCATGAGTTACACGAGAAAGAAAACAAAGTTAATAGTGTGGGGGTTGTTTTTTTTTTTTTGACTGGTCATGGGTTTCCAGCACCCTGCAAATTGTGCATTGAAAACCACTGTCCCTATAAAATTAAGGAGATGAGCAAAACCCCTTAGAATTTGGAGCTTGGTTTCTAAAATTATTTGCTGGCTGTGCTGATGTAATCTGACTTTATTTGGCATGGACTCTTTTTTTGTAATTCCCCTGTGTTTCTGCATGTGACTAAAATAAGCATCTGGAGGTAAGTGTACTGTAACGAGTATAACTTGTGAAGATTTAACAGCTGCTTACTTTTTTTCTGGTTAAATTCTTATCTGTTCAAATAAAGGAAAAAATTACCAGTTTCCTTTCAGAGATAAACAAGCAGTGCCTTATGTTAGGGCTGATGTAAGTCTTCTCTCCTTATTTTTTCTTCATTTTTAAACTTGCCCCTAGTGAGGCTTAATTGTCCCATGGGTGAAATGTACTCTTGGTATACTTTGTGAGGCTGCAGGACAGTGTTTGGAGTCAGTCTCAAGTGTGGAAGACTTCCTCCCTTTCTTCCCCCCCTGCCCAAGTCTCATGCCCAAGGTCTTAATTAGAGACACAAGCGTTCCCTGCTTCTTGCAGGCCCTAGAAGCTTGGGCTTGGCACCTGATGGTGGCAAGCAGGCCTGAGAATGAAGGGTCAATATTCTTGAATCTGAACGTTTATATTAAAAGATGCTGACAAGCAATTTGTCTCGCAGACCTGGTTGAAAATGGTTGAGTAATTGAAAAAATGACTGAAAATGTGCTGATTAATTTTTTTACAGTATGTAACAAGGCAGAATGAATATGGGACTAAGCTAACTGATTGGCCTTGAAGGAATGTTGCTGTATTTCCTTGCAGAATTGAGGGTGGAGGGGGAAAGCATTTTCCTTATAAAAAGCTAATAAGCTGTGTAATCTGTGTACCAATGTCTAGCTGATCATTAGGCCCTTTAAACAAGGACACTTGCCTGATGGTTCACTTATTTGAAATTGTCTTGTAGTTATTCAGTCTTGGACACCCAGCTTTGCAGGGATGGGCGCTGGTATCTCCTAATGCTAGAAGATCCTGCTTCATTTTAAAAGTGCTGATAAGTAAAACCTGTGCACGATGGCCTATATCACCTCTCTGGGGTTCTGATGGGCTGCAGCTCTTCAAACTTAGTATTTACACAGAAGTGTTTTATGTATCATGTTTGTTACCTCCCAGGGAGCTCCACCTTCATGAAGTAGGAGCGCAACTGGCCTTGTTTGCTACATCCAAACCAGGTTGTTTAGTGTTGGAAAAACTAAAGCAAATTTCTTGTGTAGTCAGGATAGAACAGCACACTTTTCGTAAAGGGAGCTTATCTGGATTAATTTAGCTTGCGCTAGCTGTTTAGTCTATGCAGAGACAACACTTTAAAACAAGAGGTTCACACAAAACTTCAGCTGTCTGCATGGGACAGCTGGTCACTTGCATCTTGAAGTGTTATTGCACAGACGTGTGAGTGACATCTTAATCGACAGTGCCAGCAATGTGACTGAGGCCAGGTCTTGCGTGTTCTGGCTGATAATCAAAGTGGATTACTGGAACTGTAAGCAGGTGAGATGGGTACTTCTTCCCTCACTTTTCAGACTGTAGAAGGCCTCGTGACCTCTAACTTGACTGGAATAGTCTTCTGGTATAGGAGTGGGGCAGCTGATGACAAGCCACATTCTGTGGCACTGTCTGCTTTAAGCATCAAACTGTGCTCTAAGCATGAGTCTCAGTACACATGCAATTAAAGTTTAGAAGCTTTCGTAAGTCATCTTGCTTCTTCTGGGTGGGGTGTCTTTATTTGGGGTTTTACTAGTGTGGGAAGATGGAGACCTTGAAGCAGGACTCTGCTTTGCATCTATGTATGCATGGCCTTACAGGTCTGATATAATATGGCTGCTGGCTTTATTCTGTTAAGTAACTGTATGCTCATGTTTTCCCTACTTGGACTAGTTTTCAGTCTGAGCTTGTATTTCATCTCCATTAAATGTTTTCATGTGACTACTTGTTGACATACTCCCTACACTGGAAGTTCTTCTTACCTCTTAATTGCATAAGCTTATTCTGTATATCCACTGTAGGTTGGTTGGCACAGAGCAGAAATGTGTTTTCTCTGACTGTAGAGAACCTCTTTGTCTGAGGCAAGGGTAATGCTTGAGCGTGGCACTGTAGGTAAAGACTGTTCCTGTATGAGCAGCAATGGTATGTCTTCAGCTGTGTTTCTTAATAGAAATTGGACTGCTAGGTGTCATTGAGAACCTTGTATGGTTAGCTGTTTATTGTTGATGAGGAATGACATCTGACTGTTGGAGCTGGAAATGTCGTTTACTTAAAGCATCAAATGAACAGAGAGCCTGGCACTGGATCAGCAGAATGGAAATGGTTCGAGCTGGGTGTTGCTCGTTGGGGAAACTCCATGTCACAGGGAAGGGATGATAAATGCTGAGCCTCTGTAGAGCTGATTACCTTGTTGCTTAGGGTTAAGAATAAGGACTTCTGATCTCAGAAGAGCTCTGAGCAGTTCAATTCCTTTGCTGTTTTTACTGGTTTTGCCCTTCATGTGGGAGAACAGATACAACGTGGAGTTACAGAGTGGGCTGTTGTCCACTTCTGTCCATCAGTTCTTTTATGTGCTGGATTATCTGTGCTCCTGTTGCAGTATTGGTACTAGTGTGCAGAGTAATACATGCTCAGTGCTCCATCTTTGCTCTGCTCTTACTCAGTTTCAGCAATGCTGACTTCCTTTAAGGATGTTTTCAGTTGATAATCTCTATAACAGTGAGGGTTCCTCTCTTGTATCTAACCCAAAACTACTCTGACATGCAGTGACCATCGTACTTCTCCCTACAAGGCAATGAAGAGGAGATAGTCTGGCATCTTACAGGGTGTTTTTCAGACCTTTACTCTTTGAAGCAAGTGAAGCAATAAAAAAAGCTGGGATGCCTGGGTTTTGTTCCTGGCTCTCTTGCTGACTTACTGGGTCAACTTTGGTTCTGTTTGTTGTGCTACCTTCAGTGATATCAAGCTTGCCTAACGAAGAAGCTTACATGCTGTGGTGGGTCCTGTCTGTTTGTGGAGGTCTTGATATCTGTCCTTCAAAGCACCTTTGACAACATCAAACTCTGTATGGCTCAGGTAGTCTAATGCCTGTCTGAGAACCTGTGATAGCAATAGGCTTGATGAATTGGGAGTTAATTTGTCTTGCTCTCCATGCTGCCTTTCTGCCTCAGAGCACCACTGGTGACTTTTTCAAATGACAGAAAAAGGGAAGGCTGGAAAGGTGCTGTAGTCTGTGGCCACGTAGCAATTGCTCTTCCAGCAAACTTCTTCGAAGGTTCTGCTGCTCTGCAGTGCTTGTGAACTCTCCTTTTGGTAGTTTTTCAAGCCTGGCTAGAAGTGTGGTTCAAGAAGCCTGTGAACAACAGGCTGAAAAATAATTGTCTGATGGATGTAGCCATTCTTGTTCTTCACCCTGAATCTATGCTCTTCTGTCCAGACTTTGGTTTAAAATGTATGTCACATGCACTGTTTCAGGAGCAATTATGCAAACAGTAAAGCAATGTAGAACACCATACCTTAATTTACCACACTAATTAAACTTGAGAGAGTGCCTCTGACATTTACAGTCTCATGACCATGTTGAAGTAGTGGCTGCATGTCTTGCTGACAAATCTGTTCTTATTTATGCAGAAGCCTCTGGGTGTGAGTACAGAGTGGAGGTGAGAAACAAGACACAGCAATGCAGGCTTTTTTCCCCTTGATGTAGAGCATAGAGAGGATGTATATGGTTTCAGCTTTTTCCTTAAAAGAACATCTAAGTGTGAACATCTTGCGGTTCAGGAAACTGTGCTGAAGTTCTTAAAGGTCAAAGAAAAACATTTTTCCTGCATTCTAAGCTTTCACTCCAAATTTCTGAGTGCATAGATGTATAGTCTATGCCTTTTGAATGCTTTTCTTCAGTATTTGTAACACTAGTTGCATTTCTGGTAGAACTTAAGAGCTAAGGAGGAAAGAGGTCTTGTGAAGAGGATGATATCTGAATGCTGCTCAAGGGATTCTATCAGAAATGGAAGAATACACAAAGCTTTTTTTGTAGCTCTAATTTTACATTAATTACAGTTTGAAAACTTGGACTAGAAACTTTTTCTACCTTAACACAAACTGCAGATGATGGGACAGAAAAAGGAAGAATCTGTTTTTCCTCCTAGACAGGTTGATCCCTGTATTTCAGCTGGGGTTTTATTGGTGATGCAGTACTGGTATTAATCTAATTTTGGGGGTGAGCATGCAAGAGTTGAAGTTAGCAAGATGAGAGGAGTTAGACTTTTCTTCCACTGTGAGGTGAGTGGAGGAGGCATGAGAGTGGGAGCTCACCTCTGCTTTACATATCATCAAGAGGCAAAGCAGCTGGCCAAAGATGCCAGTTCTTGGCAGGGGAGAGTGGAAAAACAACAAGAAAGGAGTTAGAGTACTGGGTACAGTTTCACATGAGAAGACTGTATCCCTTCCTTTTTTGGATGGGAGACCACCTGAGTCACCAGCAACTGTGTATATGGGATGGTGGTGTTGATTACTCTGTGCTTCTGTCGGAGTACTTGACAGTATCAACCCTTTACACCAGAAGAGGCAACTTTATTGAGGGAAGTACTGTGTGTGTGTTTAGGCTTGATAAGCTTTAGGTCTGCTGGGCTACTGTGTGTGCATGCAGGGGAATTCAGGGAAAAACCTGAAAGGTATTGTGCATGCTCTGCAAGCATCTACTCTGCATGCTAACCACCAACAAAAGAGAATCTTGTGGCTTCTGTATTGTTGCTTCTCTTTCCTCTCTTAACATCCCCTGTCCCTTGAGAGCCCAGCATGGGGAGAAACCAGGCTTTCTTGCAGGACTTGAATGACAAGCCAAAGCTGATTCTCAAAGAACCTTATATCCTAGGTCATGTGGTTCTCATTAAATTAAAAAGACAGTGGATCATGGGGTTATGCTCATCATAAGAAGAAATAGTCTTGGTTGTGTCTTGGAAAAATTGGTCAGATTTTTAGATACAGAAATCGATGTCTGACGGTCTTAATTAAGAATAGCATGGGAGCAAAAGACATGTGAAGTAGCTGAAAGTGGGCAAGTATACATATGTAAACTACAGATTTGACTGTATTATAGAAGTTGACTCCAACTCCCATGGTCTGGGAATTCACCCAGGAAGCCTAACAGGTATTGTGCAAGTTGGCTGGCTAATACACACATACTCGCCTGTATTTGCCAAGGAGCAAGTAGTCCGCAGTATCCTCTCCTATTTATGCTACTGAATGTTACTTGCACTAGCTGGGCAGCTGCAGTTAGTGTCTGTTGCTGATGAGCTCAGCTGTATCAAGTACTGAGCAGGTAGTCCTGCCCTGTGTGAGTGCCAGGCTGCACAGTGGGTTCTCTAGCTGTATCTGTTCTTGTAGGTATAGCTCTATGTATGGTAGTCTCTGAAGCCTTAATACAGCTTACAGGATGAGAGTAGCATAAACCAACAGCTTGCTCTGTTCCCAGCTGACTCATGTTGGACTACTGGAAGCTTCCAGGCTCCCCTTGGTGATTGCTTCCCTCTGACCAACAAGAAAAAAAGTGGTGGGTTTTTTTTTTGTAACACAGGTCTTCTTGAGCTCTCCTTGGGAAAATTCAGAAATGTGCTACTTAACCAGACCAATCCAGTGGAAGCTGTAATCAGGAACATTGCAAGCAATGTGACTGTCATCATTTTTCAAGTACATGCCCAGCGAAGTGATGTGGTGATATCCTTTGATAAGGTATGGTAAGAGTGTCACTTCTGTTCTTACATGCTATTTTTCTTTTGTTAAAGGAGTCGTCTATGGTACATGTAGGAATATGGAACTGAAGCTATATAAATAATATTAGTATTTTTCTCACATTCCTCTTAAACAGTATTAGTCTAGCTTCAGAAATCCTTTCTTGTACTTATATCATAGCTGCTATTTTGGAGGACTGAATGCTAAAGGAACTTTAGTGCTGGTGTGAAAAAGTTTCAAGGATTGTGATTCTTGGTGGAAGTGGGCCTTTTGACATGTGATGGCTGAGTACTGTCCATCAGCTTGTCAAATTAAAAACTGATTCATGATTAAGCATTTGCCAGATACCTTATACACTAAGCACAATCACTTTGGGATGTTTGTCTGCTGTTTATGTGGCTGGGATCTAGCCACTACAGATATGATGTCATGTTGCACCAGCTTCTTGTCCTGAATCTGATTCTCCTTTGGTGGCACATGAAGTTCACCCATGGTAGTCCAGTGAAGGCTGCTACTTCTAGAAAGCAATATAAGCATGTCTACTGCTGCACCCTAGCCTCGCTTTGTCCCATCATTACTAGGATGCAATCTAAAATACTGATTTTTTTTTTTTATGGTGCTGTGAGGCTCTAAGCGGTATTTGAGCAGAATGTAGACTAAGCTGAAGGTAGTAGATGGAGATCTGACAGCTGCCATCCAGTTTCCCTCTCCCCATCAGCAATTTCTGAATGAGAATATATAGAGTGTCAAGGAGTATTCTGGGAAGCTTAGGAGACGAATAACCTGTAACACAAGGCACCCAGCTCAGTCAGTTGTCTTTATATTGGTGAAAGAGCCAGGATTACAGGGCTAAGGCATTACTGTTGCACCTGTTTGGTCTTTGATTACCACTGGTAGAATCTTCTGCTATCAGTTCAGACACTCTTTGCATTCATGGACCTTACCAGGACAAGGACAGCAGTGCATAAATTTCGCTATAGTGCTTTTAGGGCTAGCCCGCCTCTAGAAATATGAAGCTGAGCCAGACCTTAAAGCCTACCAGGTCCAAAGTGCTTTCTTACAGTGTCTCAGATAACTGTGGCCTTCTGAGACAGAAGCACATTTTCCATGCTGAAAAATAGATTTGACTGCAGGTCAATTAGTTATTCCAGTGGCATGAGTGTGATGCTGCCATTGCTGCCTGATCTTTCCTCGAGACCCCTGATTCTGAAAAGGATGGTGGTGGTGGGCAGTGAGCCAATACCTGACCTGGCTCCAAGCGTTGTTGTCTGGCATGGCTAGTGCTAAGCCAGCTGTCATACAGTCATCTCCATTCTGGTGGAGATAGTGAGGTGCTTCTGCACTTTGGTTCCCAGAATGCCCTTTAGTAACATCTTGCAACTTTTTGTGAGGGATATTCTAATCCTTTGCACCTTTACAAGTCGATCCATTGCTGTGCAGCAGTAGACTTCAACTAGCTAGATTTCTCTGCAGTTTGCTTGTCATTATTAACTCTTCAGTAGTCTCAAATTTACCACTTGGTTTTTTTGAGCCTGAACTAGGCAGTGGGTGCTGTTAGAGGCCACTCCCTTTCTTCCAGCTCCTTTTTTTTCATCTTCCTTTTTTACTAGCTAGCTAAGGGCTGAATGCCTCCTGCGTGGCAACTGGCACTGAAATGTGTGCCTTACAGGTTAATGGCAGGAATGTGACTCCTGTGCCATACATCAAGCTGTGGTGGAAATAGTCTCAAGAAGAACTGCTTGTTTATATAATTTGTTTCTGTTCAGAATCCATCTGTGAATAGCTCGGGAACTGGAGTAGACAAAGGACTGGTTTCCATCCTTCGGCCTCAACAGAGCGTGTGTACATGGTACCTTCGGTCACTGGATGCTAGCCAGGTGTTCAGCACGGCTATTTCTATTCCCTATATGGAGAAAGGTATGTTCTTACTACTTGTTAAGGAATACCGGCTCTGATTATTACAAGTTACCTGTGAAATGAAGTGTTGACCTTTCACAAGTGATGTTTTTACGTGGTGCAAACGTGATGGAGGTGCCAGAAATTCTTTTGAAATGGGCTGAAAAAGTTTCACTGCTGAATTGCAAGTCATGTGTAGGATATACTGCGTGGCCTTGTCATGACTTTGGCCTTGGAGTACAAAACTGCTATGCATATGTATCGAGACCTCTGTAGTGAAACCACTTGTGTTGTCTGCAGGACTAGAACCTGACAATTTTATGTGCTTGGCAAGCAGACTATACCTGCAAGCATGTGCATTGCTGAGGTCTTAGAACTTTTTTCATATTGTGTATGGGGGAAGTAGAAACTACTACAGCTTTCTTTTCTGTGTTCTAGATCCTATTCCTGGAGGCTGCAATCTAGAATTTGACTTGGAAGTGGATCCAAATATTTACCTAGACTATACATTGGTTGATATACACATCAAGTTTGCCCCTGCAAACTTGGGATATACCAGGTGTGTGGAAAAACTTTCAGTGCACTAAGCAAGACCTCCTCTGTCCTGTATTTTGCCAAGGTCATAAAACAAGATTCTGCTGGAAAGGCTGACCATCCAGCTGCTGGCAGAAATCTTATTTGCTGCAACAAACTGAGAAGTAAATGAGGAAAAGGAGGAGGGGTAACAGAGAAAAGTTGAGAGTTACATCTTGTGGGAGAAGTTATGCAACTTCAGATGTGCAAGCGGTCAGCAAATACTGGATTTTCCCATTCTTCATAATGACATAATCCGTTTGAGGAGCAGTTGTGTATTATAGCCAGTTTCATTCTTTTACTGATACAGAGCATGATAATGGCCTAGAGTTTTGTTTAATGTTGAGACTTCAAGTTATAAGGCATTATGTCCTGAATGGTGCTGATGTCGCAGGGAATGGGGAAGGCTATGTTCAGAGCTGTATGTATAGCATGCATGGAAGGGGGAAACAACAACAACAACAACAAAAACAAAACAAAAAAAACCCACAAAAAACCCCAAAAAAACCCACTAGTGCTGTGATCTTTGGCTGTTTTGACCTCTTGGAATTCTTGTGCTGGTTCCTTATGGCAAGTCATAGGAAGCCTCTGTAAATGTAAAGGCAGGTACCAGCACAGATGCTACCTGCATCAGGGTAGTTTTGCATAATACTGCAGAATAGAATATTGTAGTCTGTGTTCACAAACATTTACGGTCTAGTTTTGAATTAATTGCTGGTGTTAACCTCTAAAGAGTAGAAGCTAAATACTGCCAACTTGGATGGTAACTTCTGAAAACTAATGGTAAGATCTGGGGGCTTGTGCTGGGCACATAGCTGATCTCTTTCTAATTGTAGAGGAGCAAACCCACCATCCTGTGATTCGGGGACTGGTCAGAACTCCAGATGGCGACTGCGTTATGATGTCTACCAGTACTTCTTACCAGAGAACGATCTTTCTGAAATGGTACTCATGAGCCACATACGGAAGATGTCTGAGGTGCAAAGTATCAAAGCTAATGGCATTAAAGTAAGTCTGAAGCACTGGTGTACCAGGCATGTGGCAATATCTTAAGTTTTCTCCTCCCTTGTGGCTCATCTTCCTTGAGTGGTGACATAAGCATGCTGCTGATGCTTCAGGCTTCTTGCTTATATCTGTGATTGCTGGCGAGGAAGTATACGGTGAGTGATGCATGCAAAATGGTTAACCACTCTCTCTTGGGATGGAGATGGCTAGTTAGCACAGCCTGGAATGTGGCAGAATTGAGTTTCCTTGCAGTGGGCTCTGATATTGGGTAGATGTTAGTGACCAGTCTGATGTGTTTCTGTCTTACATTCTTTTCTCAATTAAACAAGCTCTTATTGCAGTGTCGTCTTCCTTGCTAAATGCTACTCTAGCCACAGTGCTTCTTCAGCAATGTTGAAGCCAGCTTGCCTATGGCAATACTGCCACTGAGTGCCTGTAAATCCAGAAGTTGAGACGCTTCTGACAAAGATTGATAGTCTCCTACAGTGCATGGTAGATGCTGGGGACTGGCATTCTCAGATGCTGAGAACTGGGCAGGGAATGCAAGGAAGAGAGGAGGGAGGGGAGTATGGTGGAACAGGCCCCATCTGGAGTGGCATAAAGAGATCTGATATACTAGAGTAAATGCTTGCTGCATGTTTACCTACACCCAGCAAAGAGATTGGAAGGGATGGACAGATGAGAATCTCAGTGGCCTTGACCTGTCTGGCCTTGCCGGGGAGGAGAATGGCAGCCTTCCCTGGTTCAGAGGCCAGACCTGGGTTAGTAGATTGATAGGGGAAACTGAACTGTGCTCTCAAGTGGGGAGGAGCAAAGCGTAAGAGTGAGAAAATCCTCTGCCCTGTCAGAAAACATAGTATTGTTGGAGGAAGTGTCGCCTGTCCTATAAGCCTTTAATGTTTCAACTGGTAATACTGAGACGGTTCAGAATAAGAGTTCTTCCCTGCAGTTCTGGCTGATCATCATCTTTGAATTGCTGAGAATTCCCTCAGCTGTATGGGCACATCAGCATTCCAACAGTGACAAGCAGTTCCTTGCAATTAAGTAATCTTTACCGTTTCCAGATGCTTACGCTGACAACTGATGACAAGACCAATGTCTACTTTTCCTCACTTCCTGGACAAGGTGTGATCTACAATGTCATAGTATGGGATCCTCTTTGGAATACTTCTGCTGCATACATACCTGTGCATACATATGCCTGCAGCTTTGCTGACCTGGTGGATAACTGCTCTTCTCTCAGTAAGTTGGGACTTGTACATCCTTGCCAACTCATTTCAAGCTTGTTGTGCTCCAACATGCTGAGTGGTGCTTTTGAGATTTTTTTTTTTTTTAATGTGTGAAGGAGCTTTTTGTTCTGCAGTAGATATATCCTGTTACTTTGAGAGAGTCTACTTCTTGATTGAGGAGAAATTCTAAATAATAAGGCTAAGGAGAACTATTAGCAATTGAAGGTTTAACTTAGTGGAGGCTTAATATGTGGCTTGCAAATATATAGCTTTTAACTCTGTAGTGCCACTCTAGCTTTTTCTGTTTGAACTGGATATGTAATCTTAAATCACTTGTAGGACTATTGATGCTGTATGTGAAACTAGGCTAATACAGCATGAACTAGATGAGGATCGAGCCTGATTTTTCCAACTGTGCTGGTGCTAACAGCAATTGGTAAATTATGAATATTTTAGGTGGAGATAGTCACCTAAAATAAGCAAGAAGATAATGCCAGCAATATCAAAATGACTAGAGTCATGCTATTTGTACAAAGCTATATAATGATAGAATTTGAAGAGAAGAGCGAAGTTGTGATTCCCACTACGACTGTGGAAGGGACAAGAATAATGGGTAGAATGTGGTTCATTAATCATGAGAACAAATCTTACTTTTTTTCTTATCATATACTGTAACACAAGTAACTGTTGTCAAGCTCAGTATTGTCTTAAGACAACGTAAGACACATTGTCTAGGCTCAACCCCTTCTCTCTAATTCAGAGAACTAGTAAAATGTGGTTTACTTGTTTCAAATAGCTTAAATACCGGTAAGGATTTTGCCTAGGAGACGGAGGTGAGCTGGTCCTTTCTGTTGCATGGAGAGTATATTAAAGGGAGATCATGGTGAAGGCTGTGGTGATAAAGACTATAGCTGCTGCCTGGGTCACTAATCCTACAGCACTGAATTTTATAGATGATTGGTTGTCCCTTTTTTAAAGCTGAGCAGAGAATGTTCAGGTAAAGCTGTATCAGTATTATAAACAGCAAGTTACAGCTACTTAACTTCTGTTACAGAAACTTCAGCGTTTTGAAGGAGGAGGAAGCTCTTGATTTCTTAATCAGACTGGAACTACTTCAGTATTCTGTTGGAGATCCTATCAATACAACTGTTAGTTCAGGCATTGCAGATCTGCTTACATGGTGTGTCTGAAGGAGTGGCAGCTATTAAGTTGTCAGTAGACTCACTGGCAGCAAACTGACCTTACCTTAGCCTCACTGTTGGGACTACTAGGTGGAATGCTCTAGTAACCCTTTCTTTCTTCTTGCAGGCAAGCTCTCTACCAAAGTATTCTTCACTGCTCTTGCTTTTCTTGGTCTCTTCACTTGCTTTTTTGGACACAGATTCTGGAAAACAGGTACTGAATGTTGGTGTGTTTTTCTCGTAAGTCTGGTTGGAATTTCATAGATGTAACTTAGAATGGTGCTGTTATTCTAAGATTCACTTGATAGTGATTATGTGCCAGATAGGTCCAATGCTTTCCTTTTACAGGATCAGAGCTTTTAAGCACAGAGCAAGAAGTTACTGGTATGCTAAGAACAGAAACTTAAAACTAGGGTGCATGCTAGGCAACATAAATAAGTAATTTTTTGACTATTTAAAGGGCTTGAGGACACCCCTTTCCAGAACAAAGTGTTGTCTGGATTGCCTCTTGTGCTTCTTGACCAGTGAGCTGATACGTTCTCTCGCTGTTGTAACGTGAAGATGTCTGAAGATGTACTGAAGTGGGCTTGGTATGAAATGATATGACAGTGTACAAAATCTTTTTTTCCTTCTTCTCTAGACTTATTCTTCATGGGCTTCATATTCGCAGGATTCTTCTTCTTTGTATTTATTACAAGGGTAACTGGCCTTGGTTATGATGGTGAGTAGATGTGTTGGGATACCCCTTGCTCTTTACAAAGTATTGTTGTCATTGTTGTTCCTTTAAGTAAGACCTCAGTTGTGCTTGTTGTTGGCCAGCCTTAGGAAGGATAGGAGTATGGTACCTGGGTATTTGAACTGAGCTCTGATTACTGTAATAGCTGAATACACAACAGAGTAACTGTTGCTTTCCAACATCAATTAGTGATGCAGAATTAATAGCTGCAACTGTAAAAGACAAATTTAAGTGTCCATCCAAGGAAGATGCAAATTTCCAGAGTTTCTAAAAACCTGTAGCATACTTCCTACTTTTTTCATAATGGGTGGACCTCAATTTCAGGTCATGCAAATTTTGTCTATAAAATGAGGGTGTGGAAGGTCTGTATCCTGTTTCTTAGACTAGCAAGAATTAGTTCCTTTTGGCTTGGTCCTACCTCATAGTTACTTTTTTGATACATGTGCATTAGCTTTTGCAACCATAACTGCCCTAGGAATTCAAGGAACTAATGTACATAGTAGCAAGACTTTAATTCCAGTCCTGTGCTACTCTTTCAGTAGCACATCCTCAGTTGCAGACTGGAGTCTAAGCGAAATGCATGAAGCAAACAGAGATACTCTTGTTTGGCTTTTTCAGTGTTTTCATTAGGTAACAATCAAGCATGTAAGTAAAGCTGCTTGAGTGCATTATTGCAGTAACTGAAGTTTTCAGACTGTTGGAATTTCCCCTTTTCTTTTCCAGTGCGTCTTATTTTGACAGCAGTAGCTGGAATTATTGGAGGGCTTTTCCTGGTTGCAAGCTGGTGGAGATTTGGCTCTGTCCTACTCTGTATGTTTATTATTGGACTTGTCCTGGGATTTCTCTTTTCATCGACAGTCTTCTTTACTCCACTAGGTAGGCACTGAAATACTCTTCTGTAAAGTGCTTGCTATTGAGTGATGTATTCCTGCTGTGTTATGGGGACACTATAAGGCTCTTAAGACGAATGCCACTCTGGTTTATCTTAGTGTTATATTTAACTTTCTCTTCCCAGTGTTGGGAGGAATAGAGCTGTACCTGAAGCCTTCTTTCAGGTGTGCTGTAATTAAAACTACTTGCGGAATCTGCACCAGTGGGAAAAGGAAACTGCTTATTCTGGAGAGAATTTGCTGAGGCTCTTCCTACCTAAGCTGCATGCCATCTCAGCAGTCTGTGACGCCAAGCAAGGTTGCTGAGCTGGAATCTCTCTGGGACATCAGAGCATCAGCCACACTGCTTTTTCTATTGTAATTTTAAATCTCAAAACTCTTAGTTAAGCTCCCTTGGTGGTACAGTATTTCATTCTCCAATCAACTGTTTGACTTGAGCCACAGTTCTGTGATAATACATGCAGTCCCTGGTTGCTCTTCAATGAAGTAAAACAGTGACTTGGCTGGGGGTCAGCTTGTGCCTTCTGCTTAATTGACAGGCCTTAGAAAGCAGGGGGAACAAAGTAGTGTTTGAGCAACTTAATTACTCTTCCAAAAGCTAGAGACGTTCGTTGCCTTGTATTGTTGTGACGGCTGTACTTGTACGACACTCCAGAGTCAAACATGTATGGATGCAGGTTTATAGATTATAAACCTCTATAGGCAATAAAAAGGCTTCTTATTGGGTAGAGGTACTCTGGTGCTTTTCATTCTTACCAGGTGAGTAATGTATACATCATCAAAAGTCTTTGCTTCATAGACAAGATCTGCTGTCCCAAGTTAGAGTACAGGACCTATACTCAACTGGGACAGTCTTTCTGTTCTTGTTTTGAGTAATTGTGTTACAATGCATCTTAATCAGCATTTGAGCTCAAAAGCTTTTCCACACCGTACTCTAAGATTTCCGAATGTACAGAATCTTTGGGGGGAAAAAGCTTACCCCCAACCACTAACAAAAAAAGGAAATGTTTTGGTAACTAGTAAATTACATGTAGAATATGGTGTCTTTGCAGGAGACTACAGGGTCTTCCGTGATGATGTCGTGTTCTGGGTGACCTTTTCTTCTGTAGCCTTAATGATTCCAGTGCTTTTTGTTGGCTGTCCAAGAATTGTAAGTAATCTGCGCTGTTACCTCAGGAGGAGGGAGGAAGAGGTGTCAGACTTCTTAATGCAAAATGTAGTCCTGTGGGATATGCATAGAAGACTTAATACAGCTTCACGGAGCCCAGCGCAGGACCAGCTCTAGGGAGTTCCTGTTCAACCCTACTTGGCTAAATAGTCTGTAAACAAAGGAATGACTTTTTGCACATTGCATCCACTAACACTTGCATTTAGTCAACTTCTGCTGTCTTAACAGGCTGTCTGGTTAGCAGGTGTGCACAGCCAATTTATTCTAGAACAATTGGTACAAAATACTGCCTTAAGGAGGCGGGGAAATGGTGTTTATCAGTCTCCTAAAGCTGGGTTTTTCTCCCCCTCTAGCTGAACATACTGGCCTCTGGAATAGTAGGCTCTTACGCAGTGATCCTAGCTATTGCTTGCTATGTCTACACAAGTCTTGCTTACATCACCTTAGACCTACTCAGAAGGGTTCTCAATGATTACTTCAGCAGAGCTTACACCAATGTGCCTTTTCAAACAAATGGTGAGTACTGCTCTTAAGACTTCTTTAAAAAAAGAACTGATATGAAATACTTATTTGAGAAACCGCTGCCTCTTTAGTTCCATTGTAAACAGTGAGTGCTGAGGGTAGGAAAGGAAGAAAGGAGAACATGGTAAGTAGAGTGTGAGATTTAACACCCAGATGATAAATTTGAGCCCTCCAAAAGAAATACTGAGTAGACACAAAGGCACCAACCTTCCAGCAGGTGTTATGCGACAAAGGCCCTTGTGAAAGGTGCTTCTCAGGCTTGGGCTGCCTTGCTGATGAGTTTGCAGAACAGGCAGTCAAAAGACCCGATACGGTGACTGAGCAGACTCATCTCAAATCCCTGTGTGTTCTTGCCTTTTCATGGATTTACTCTTGGCATGTGAGGATGCAGAGACAAATACTCCATTCCTTTCTGTTGCTAAATTTGTTCAGTGGTTGTGCTTGGGAAAGGAAGGAATGTTCTTTTTTGATGTAGGAATCTGTTTGTTTTCTTTTTTTTTTCAGACTTCATTATCCTGTCAGTGTGGACAATGCTGGCCCTTAGTGGAGTAACTGTGCAACTTCGCCGAGAGAGAAGTGAAGTGCCCTTCCCACCGCACCCCTATCTTGCCTGGAAGCGGGAAAGGGAGCGCAGAAGCACCAATGTCTTAGACCCTAGCCATCATATCCCTCCCTTAAGAGAGAGGATCCATAACAAGCTACTGCATATCAAAGAGCTTTTTCAGAAAGAGCAGCCTGCTGGGGAAAGAACTCCGTTGCTTCTGTAACCTGCCAAATAACTGGTGGGAACAGAGAGGAATGGTGAGACGAGTGATCCAGCAAACCAGCCAGTGGTGCAGGATTTACTGCTGCCAATATGTCCCGCTTAGTAAGAGGAACATAGTTGCTCAACGTGGAAGAAAAGTTATCTGTGTGGTACACTACATGCTGGTTTGTGACTCTTTCATCAATGGCCCACTCAGCCTGCTGTAACATGCGTATGCCTAGCTGCAGAATCTTGTACTAATGGTCAAGTACAGGTATTTACCTTGTGGTGATCTAGTTTGATGTTTAGGTATGTGAAGTATAAAACAACCCTTAGAAAGCAACCTGTACTATGCCGGTTCTTCCCTCGCAGTGTGGAAACCACTGCTGAAGTATCGCCTGACTCGCTCCTGAAGGGGAGTGGTCTGTCAGATTGCGAGGGATGAGAGATAAGGATGGTACACAGAAGGCATTCTTCTGGCAGGAACTGAAATATCACCTTCTAATATAGGTGCAAAACGTGTGGCTGCAAGACACAATTGTTTCCAAGAAGTATTACTGAACCTTGCAAGCTAAACTAAGTGGCTTGAATTTAACTGCACTGAATTAACTGTTTGTAAGTGTGCACACTGGGGACTCGGGAAGCAGACCTGATCTGAGACAAGAAGACTTTCTTCCTTGCTTTTGGATTGTTCTGTAGCAAGCTGGTCATCTGGTCTCTGTGCAGAGATGACTGCTAAGAGAACACAAGAGGTTTGCCTCCTTGTTTGCTTTCTGGACAGCCTGTGGATTGTTTCTGCTCTGGTATAATCTCTCTAGATGGTGCTGTCATAAAAGAAAATACTAAATAAGCTCTTTGTAGCCAACAGCAGTTTTTTCCTGGAATTGTTTGAAACACTACTTTTATTTTTAATCAATATATCTTTTAATTTTGCCTTTAGGGGGTGAAAACAGCATACAAATAGCAAAATACTGACCAGGATCCTTGCTGACTGAATGTGTTCCATGCCAATTTGTTTTGCATCTGCCCAAAGCAGAATGTAGTATAAAAACAGATAAGGGACCACTCTTGTGCTCAGTGGAGGATTGCGATCTTGTGCAGTGGCTTTATTCACTTCCTTAAAAAGAAAACAAACAGCCTTTTTTCAAAATGCAAAGTGGAGCATTGTGGGTTTGACTCACATAAATGCATGGTGATCTGTAATGCATTAAATGACAGTTGAAATCTTGCATCCTCTATCTTGATATGGGTTATGGTGGCTCTTCCTTCTTAGTCTCACTAACTTCATACCTTTAGTGTGGGCAGCAAAGTGTGAAGTCCTTCCTGCCTGAAGGTGAGTGGCTGTTCTGCTACCTGAATGGAACCACCATGAGTGAATACCCTAGTGGTGGAAACTTCAGTTCTCGGCCACCACTTTACATTCTTGGTAGCAAGTATGTAAGAAACAACTCTTTGTAAGGAAACTGGCAAAATAACTTTATCTGGGAACATAGTTGAAAGTTAAAACGCCCTAGCAATAGGAAGGAATTAATTACTTTTAAATTACTCTACTTACTGGCCATTTTTCTTTGAGTAAAAGGTTAATGACATAGTATCTGAGGTGACTGAGCTGGTCTGAAGTTTAGCAAGACAAATCCCATGATTGCTTGGAGTGGGAATATTTGCTTCATACAGCAGAGCAAGGCTGAGATCCTGAGATTTGGGTCTTGCTTTCCCTGGTTTCAGGCAGACTGATGCTCGCTGCCTGCCCTTACCGCACTGATACCGAGCATGTCTTTGCCATATTTGATGGCAAGTAGCAAACACTTATTTGGTATATAAATGCTCTTAAACATGTTTACCATGGTTGTTTTTTATAACTGCTGTGATTAACATTGTGGAAGAAACAAGTTTAACTCTAATTTTCTATATCTTTTATAATAAAGATGTCTTTGGAAAGACTGTTGGAACTAAAGGGGTCTCTTTGAATTCAATGACACTTTTACAACTTGGCTTCTGTCTTTGGTGTTGTAGGGATGGTTTGTTGAAAAATTTCTTAGCCCCTCAAGGGATGAATTGCGGGGCAGGGGAAGAACTTGGCTGACCTGTTGTAAGGATGTACTGTAGTTAGAGTGACACCCAGAGGCTGAGAGTGCAGTTGTGTTCTGTATGAAACCAGTGAAGAAGCTCATGGTCCAAAGAGGTTATTTTAGATAGCTTTGTCAGATCAGTTTCTAGAGGACAAAGGGATGGCTGTGATCCACTTCTTGACTGGAAACTAGTCTGCAAGATCATGTAGGAAGTCTATGACAGAACTGGGCTTTGAATTTCCTCCCCCCCCCCCCGAGATTCTGACTTGGAGATTTTGGGTGGTTTTCTTAATACTGCTAAGAGATAATATGGGAGTTTCTTTGATATTGTGTAAGCCATAGTGAGTAACAGTGATAATAATCAGAATACACTAACTGATCCAATGGGGTGCCAAAGGGGTAATTTTCAAGGCTTTTTTTGAGGCAGCTGCAAAAGGAAAACTACCCTGCTATGCTTCTGTTGTGACTGCAGAAGCTCTCATTGGAAGCATTTACTGCCTTGCTGTGTTAGCTGCACTACCTTGCAGTTTTGCTAGCTTAAAATAATGCTATCTGATGCTCCTGGGGAATCTAAATCTAAACTATGTTGTTCTAGGTAGCAATTCCCCTGTAAAATCGAGTGTTTTGAAGCTTCTTGTAAGCTGAAGCTTTCTGGACTATGATAACTATCTAATTTGCGCTGTTGTAGGGAATCCTCCTGCCCATGATGGCTCCAGTATACTTCTTTTGCTGAATTTTCTGCAGTCTTCGCTGCCCTGTAATAAAGCTGCAATGATCATGTTGTGGTACTTGTCTTAGCTGCTTGTAGAGCTTTCCTAGGTCTGTGTGTGTTCCAGTCCTGCCTCAAAACTGCGTGAAAAACTGTCTTCCTTTGCCCCTTGCGCTCTCAGCCATGCTAACTTCTCCTAGCAGTTAAACAGGCTGTGGCACAAGTGGACTTGAACACCAATCTTTTCAAAGAAACAGATCTTCCTTTGCTCTTGTGTCTCCTGCCTCACTTTAAAAACACAAACCCAGCCTGACTACTGCTTCGTGGAGTAGGCATGTGGGAGGCAGCTTGCCTACCTGCTTCCCCAAATGTTCCGAAAGCATGGCTGAGAAACAAATCATCATAGGTGTACTTTGGAGGGAGGGAGGATAAACTCCCCCCTCTCCTAAGCTTTGTATTTTATTTGGGAGCAGGTTATGGAAAGCTATAGAATGGGCCCACAAAATAAATGTTCCTTTGTCATGTGTGTGGTTCCATATCCTATACAAGTGGCTCTTCTTACTGGGATGAATGGTGTGGTGTAGATCTTCCAATCTAATAGTCCACGCTGCTAGTGCTTGGTAAGAAGAAAAGGTATGAGTCATTGTTCTTGGATCTTCTCACCTGGTTGGTAGAAGTATGTTGCGTATATCAGGTTGTAAAGCACTTGGAACCATTTTGGGGACTTAGCTGCTGGGTGTTATGTAAAACCCATGATAGAGACTTCTGAGAAAACTTTGGCTTTGTTTAATACCTTGCTGTTTGTGGTCACGAGCCTGGCTTTGAGAAAACTGAGCAGAATGTGAATGTTGTAGAGTGCTAGTCTGAAACAAAAACTTGGTCCTGTGAAATGCACTAATTGGCTGGCATCTTTCTGGTATTGCTGAGAGAGAGAGACTTTAACATGTCCTGGCTTGTTTGGTGGCTTGCTTTCAAGCTGTTTTGTTTTCCTGTCTCTGCCAAAACTGTATGAAACTGCCCCAAGCAACTGGATATTGAAACAGATGGTAAACCAATACTTAGTTTAAAACTGCTTGAGGACCAAAATCCTTGTTGTTATGTGGCACAGACATCAGTAACTCTTCAGGAGGATGTTTTTATTCTTAATTAGAGGCTAAGGACTGAACTCAGCTAACAGGTAGATAAAACTGGTGATGTTCCTAAGCAGGGCTTCATCATGAAGCCCAGCCAACTGCAGTGATCTCTGGTGGCATGGGGTTTGGGTAGGAGAGAAAGTGGTTTACAATTTGCCTGTTTGAGTGCTATATGCTGCAGAGGGAAGATGGACCCCTTATGTCTCTGCTCTGGCCTCTCCTGTGTGAGATCTGTTCCTCACTGCTGTGCTTGGGCTGACCTATGTTCTGCTGCTCTCGGGTGAGCTTGTCAGCTCTGGAACTCCTGGTGAGCTCTGCTCACAAAGAAAACATTCTCTTCTTCCCATCAGATCTCCTGAAGTAGGCCCTAATATTTTTAACTCTTTCTTTAATTTTTAGGTGATTAGGTTAGCACACTCCTGGTCCTAACCAAAAAGTGCAAGGTGTACGTTGGAAGAGACCTTTAAGATCAAGTCCAACTGTACTTGTCCGCCAGTAAACTATATCTCCAAGCACTTTATCTGCCTGTCTTTTAAATACCTCTGGGGATGGTGACTCGACCACTTCCCTGGGTAGCCCATTCCAGTGCCTGATAACCCTTTCAGTGAGAAAATTTTTCCTAATATCCCATCTAAACCTCCCCTGGAGCAACTTGAGGCCATTTCCTCTTGTTCTATTGCTTGTTACTTGGGAGAAGAGAGCAACACCCACCTTTCCACAACCTCCTTTCAGGCAGAAAAGGTCTCCCCTTGGCCTCCTCTTCTCCAGGCTAAACAACCCAGCTGCTCCTCATCAGACTTGTGCTCCAGACCCCCCACCAGCTTTGTTGCTCTCCTCTGGACATGCTCCAGGGCCTCAATGTCCTTGCTGTAGTGAGGGGCCCAAAACTGAACACACTATTCAAGGTGTGGCCTCACCAGTGCTGAGTACAGGGGGACAATAACTTCCCTGCTCCTGCTGGCCACACTATTTCTGATGCAAGCCAGGATGCTGTTTGCCACCTTGGCCGCACTGCTGGCTCATATTCAGCCGGCTGTCAGCCAGTACCCTCAGATCCTTTCCTGCTGGGCAGCTTTCCAGCCACTCTTCCCCAAGCCTGTAGCATTGCATGGGGTTGTTGTGACCCCAGTGCAGGACCTGGCACTTGTAGCTATTCGTCATCCACTGAATCTTCCTTCCTGCCAAGTTGCCCTTACCCAGCTTTTGCTTTTCTCTGCAATAGCAAAAGAAACAAGTGAGGTATAAAGGATTTCTTTGGTCCCCTCCGTATCTGTCTCTTACTCCAACCTGGAATGTGTGCAAAAATGGCCTTTCCCAAAGCCTTCCTTCTGTAAGCGTTCACTGATGCTTCTCACCCCAGTGAGTCTCTTCAGCTTTTGTTCTGTCCTTGCCTAGAGCTGTCCTTTATCAGAAAAACAGGAAGCCCTGCCTAAAACAAAATGCCCCATTTTAATATGTGCGTTTTTCACTAAGCTTCTGAGCTTTTCATCTCTCTTCCTAAAACTGGCAGCAGCGTGCTGTAGGTTTGCACGTGATCTTTGCAGCGGTACTTCTGGTGGGATTTATTGTAACTTTGTCCAGTCAATAGTCAGAATAGGCAGCGCTGAGCTTTTGGGAAGTAAATATCCTACAGGTAATCATCATAAGCACTAGGTCAATGTGTTCTAACTCAGCGGCTGAGATGCACTGATAATATCCCTGCCTATTTAGTTGAGTTTTGTCAATATTAATTTGATTAGGTTGTCCCTTCCCACACCTTTGATTAGTAGGCTTTGATGTTTCATTTTTCTTTAGAAAAAATAACTCAATACCATTTTTGTTTCTTCAAGGAGATGCTTGTTGTTTATAACTTTTTTTTTTATTGATCGCAGACCTTGTCTGCTAGCATGTAGCTATAGGCAGACAGCTGTCTCCTGTTTGAGTATGCAAGGCTTTATACTTTCATGCACACTGGGGGAAGACAACTTCAAAACAGAGCAATAAATTAGCTAATTTTGGGGGTGAGAGGGAGTGGGAGGGAAAAATGGTTGTGTACAACTTGCCTGTCTGCTTCAGAACTGGGTCTTCACAAGTCTGCCTTGTCAAAAAAAGCACTCTGCAACTTTTCCACATTATTCTTAGTGCCTTCTCGTGTAACAACAAATTATCTAATCTGGTCAAAACAAGCTGGATTCATTTTTTTTATCCTGAATGCTCTGAGGAGAAAGTTGTGTGCAGGAAGCAAAAAAGCAGATAGTATGTATCATAGGAGGCAGCTGTGCTGTTTGCCTAGCTGCCAGTAATTTAATGAGTTGCATATGATGATTAATTTAAAGAATTGTTTACTGTGTTCCTGAGCATAGTATTGGAAAACCTAAGACATTGGTTGCCCTGCATCCATCAGTGTTTTTATTGTTTGAGCTTCCGACAACTGAATTTTCAAAAATATCTAATGCTTTCACTGCTGAAATAGCCATCCTCAAGTGTAAATCTCAAGGTATTTTTGGTGGTGAGAACATTGTAGGGAACTTATTCTTCCTGCATCCTCAAGTGTAAATCTCAAGGTATTTTTGGTGGTGAGAACATTGTAGGAAAATTATTCTCCCTGCCATTCTATAAAAAAAGGTAAAACTTCACCTTAGGGCAATGGGACTGCAGTTGGAGTTCTGCTTGTTTCCCTTGTGCTGCTGTTCTCTAGCTCGTGTCTGAGGAGTGTTGCCAGCCTGTACTTTTTCAGGAGTGGGATTAAGAAACTTTTCCCTCCCTGTTGAGCAGTTGCTTGAGGCTTTCTCTTTCTAAATGTAAGAGGAGATTGGTTCTTTTTCTGAACTTGGGGAACAGCTATGTTCTCTGATACACAGGGGTGGCCACGCTGGCTCCTGGGGGGCATGCTGCTGCTGTCGGAACACACAGGCACCAGGGACCTGGGTACCTCTTCTTGTATAGTCATTGCCATAGAACCTGTTTTATTTTGCAGCACATCTTAATACACAGGAGCTAAACAATTTTGTTTAAATTAGTCCACTCTGCTGTCATCAGTATGAAGTTCAACTGCATCGCAAATGAAAGAAAAAAGTGGGATGGGCAAAAGGTGAGGCTGACTGTGACCTACACCCCTACCAGGTATGTGCATGTGATACAGAGCAGCGCTCTGCTGCGCACGGGTCTCCCAGCACGCTGCAGTATCCTGGTGGAAGGGTAAGCCTAGCAAGAGGCCCTCTGCTGACATTATACAGAAATCTACTTTTCTGCTCTTTAAACAGTAACAGCAGGCATTTGTTCGTTGGTGCTGGTTTGGGGATATGGGCGGGAGAGTGTACAGATTCTTCTAGAGCAATAATGAGATGGTTTTGTTTGCACACACGAAGTTAAATGGAATTCCTCTGAGACAACGCCTTCTGTGACAATTGTGCAGACAGCTGGCAGCTCTTGCACACCTACAGCTGAACAGTGTTCCCACTGCATCTTGTTGCTGCTGCTTTTTTTTTTTTTTTTTTGGACTCCAGTGGCCATGTGTAGCTTGATGCTGCTTCCAGAACTTGTGTTGCCCACAGCACAATGTTGAAAAGGCTGGTGAAAAAGTTGCCTAATGTTAAACCTTACTCCTCTGCCATGTTCCTTCACTTCTAACTTAAGCTTTCTTTTGCTTTCCTCTCTCATCTTCCCACTGTCACTGTATACAACCTGTCACACTGTGACCAGCCCTACGGTGTTCTGTTAGCTAGTTTGACCACCTGTCATCTCAGACATCAGCATCTGCAGAAAGAACAAGTACATGTTTTACACTCAAATAGGAGAATTGGAAATTCTTTTAATCAGCAAAAGTGCTTCTAAAGCTTAATGTTTACCAACCAAAAATGAACACTTCCTAAGTTAATGTAAATCTTATTTTGGGTACCCACAAAGGGATCCTAGTAAATGTAATTCTGCGTGAAAACAGGGCTATTACTTCTGGATTTTAACATAATCTTCTAATCCAATGTATTTGTTAAAAAGCCAAAGCTATTTAAAGCTTTTAGTTGTACAGAACAGCCCAACTTAGTTTCAAGCTGCCCTTCAGTCTTGCCTTGGTTGACTAGCTGCTGCATGTATTTATGACTTAGTTTGACGTTAATTACCTGTCTTTAAACACAGAATTTATGATACTGAAAAAAACGTTTCTCTTCTGAGAAATCATGGGGAAGTGGAGAAAACACTGTTGTCATCTTATGAATTTTATCCACTGACATGCTCATTTACACATTGCAGAGAAAGGAACCCAGAGCTCGAACCAACTTGGAGTGGCTTTTTTTTTAATCTTCAGGAAGAAAACACAACTGGCACACCCTCTATCTTTTGATCCAAAAATCAAAGTCCTGTGGACTGCTTTTTGTTTATCCTTACTGCTCCTCTGTTTTGGTAAACTGTTTTCCAAGAGAAAATGAAGATTTTTACAGAGGATTTTTTCTTTTGCTATATAGCAATATGAATAAAAGTGCTAGGAATGGGCCGGCCTGCCTTAAAGTATAAAAATAAGCAGAGTAAATGGTAAAATCATGTCTTTTTTTCTTACATGTTACTAACAAGGCTTGTTTCAGATTTGGTACCTTGCTTTAATGATGAAGACATCCGTATTTTCAGTCAACTTTATTGATAAAATAAGTTTACTGTACAGTACACAATTCTAGCCGTAAATTCTTTTCAAGCCATCTGCATTACAAAAATAACAGGTATGCAATGAAAAATAGTCACTCCACACACGGTGAAGGTTCTTTAAAATCCTAAAGTGATCAGGTCAGGGGAATGACAGGGGAGACGTATCAAACGTGAAGAGTAGGAGTAGATAAATTAAGTCACATTTCTTTAATTTACAAAAATAAACACTAATCAAGCATTATTTCGTAATAGAGCAACCTTAAAGAACTGCCACAGACTAACAACCCTTCTCTGCTATCCAGCTCTGGAGACTGTATTTGAAAGACAAACCAGAAAGTCAGCCAAGAAACTGCCTTCAGCATTAGATGGATACAAATGCCTCTGATACCAATCAATGGCTGAAAAAACACATTTAGAAAGAATGACTTAATCAACTGAACCCAAAACTTCTGGGAAGCTTGCAACAACAAACCACACTCCGTTAAAAAAAAGATACTGCTTCTGGTAAGTCACCAGCTTGCAAGCTACAGTAGAAATGCAAAATCTAAATAATAGAAGCACTGGCAAAGTTTTTACAGATAATAATAGCAGACAAGTGTATTTTGTGCTTGAGCTAAAATATTCCCCCCACAAGTTTAGCAAGTTTGGAAATGGTTAAAACTTTTTTCCATGCACATGAACATCTTCGATATATTCTTAAACCTAGAAACAAGCTAAGATGCTCTAGAAAGAGAAGTAGCAGCTTCTCCATTTATAAAAAATGCTGTGAAAATTTGGAGAGCTTGATTTATCTGTCCTTTCCACACTCTTCAACTGAATTTCCTGGTATATGTACTAGTGAATTGGAAACAAGCATTTATTGTCTCTGCTAAACACCCCTCTTTCTCACCATGTCACTTTTCTCTTAAAAGCACTATGGGAAGGAAGGCAGCAACTGACAGCAACAGAACAAAAATATTTACCTCCCTATAAATTAGGTCACTGGGAACTGAAAGCTTACCCTTAGATCTGTGGTGCATTTAACCCTCAGCCCAGGGAAGCTGTACTGAGTCAAAGGAAGCTGTGTTTAAAGCTGCCACACTTAGAAGTGCCTGATGCTTAATTCTTCTTGTGTTGTTGCAACTGAAAATCAAATTTGATTAAGTAATAGTTGATTTCAGAGTAGGAGTTCAACTTTTTTTCCTAGGTGAGTTATTAAACAGCCAAAATATTCAATTCTGGGTGGCATTTGTAGATCTACAATTTTCTGTGGTTGCAAGCTTTCACTCTGCTGCTTTGAGTACACTTTCCAAGTAAAGGATATATTAACATGCTGGACAAAAAGTGATGATACACATCAATACCAGGGATGTTCCTGCTGCCTTGACCAAGAAGTGGTAACCTGACAAGCAAAAGCCAAATAGGAATTATTTTGGCACCTCTCTACTACAAGCCTGTCTTGTGAGGCACTTCCATTGTATCTGTGTTATGATATAAGCTGCACTTTTCCAATTCCTTTTCATTTCTACCTGTATGTCAGGATTAAAAGCAAGTGGTCTATTTGTCAGTATAGCACACTGCAATGTTTCCTAGTACAAATGTAACATGTACCTGAAACTTACCTAAAAACCTTCTCGATGACTAGTACTTAAGAAGGAAAAATTAAGAGTGTTGATTGCAGGCATGCAGGCTGCCAACTTTGCCATAGAGTTTCTCCCTCTTTCCCCCAACCATCTTTCTGCTGTTGCCATTTGGGTGTTTTCAAACTGCCATTTCCCAGCTGGGAAGCTTGGGCAGGCACTGGGAGAAGAAATAGGTGGGACCAATGTGGCTTCTTACCTACAGAGAACTGAGCCTGGTTTTCTCTCATAAAGGTAAAAGCTAAGGCAGAAAAACAATAAACTGGGAGCAGCTCTTCTCATGTTTTGAAAATGCAATTAAGTATATGTACTTTAAAGACTCTTCTTCAATTTAAGAAAATAAATATTGAACAACTGCAAAAGCATTGCTTATGTTTAAATAATTGGCCTTATAGTTGAACGGGTTACCCTGTGGCTAAATAACAGAAATCCTTAAAGCCTATGTACCCTTTCCATTAAGCAGCTTTGTTACACAATGAGAATTTATTAAACATACTAAAAGGAAAAAATGTAATGCGGATCATGCACAAAGCATATTCATAAGTTACTACTTCAAATCTTACCTTTATTATATAAATAGGTGCACTTAAACTTTGTATGAGCAATAACTTATATAAATTATGTGAAATCCTGTCTTTTACCTGTAAAATTACTTCATATAAAAATAATTCCCAATTCAATAAGTGCATTAATCCCTTTCCTACTGAAGTTAGATCTATGGCAATTAATCTGTCACTAAGGTTTTTGTAGAATACCAATTTTAATTTATTTTATGCAGTATAAAAGCCACTAAACTGGAGTTTAAGATGCATTAGCTTGCTGGTGCCCTATTCAGTAACAAGTGCTTGACAAGTGACCCCTGATACTCTGTTTGTAAAGTGTGCAATTGAAGCTTGTTGATCTCCAGAGTCTTTAGCTTTTCCTCAGGCTCAAATCGCTGCTTGTTACTAATCCTGACAGAGACGTACTCTCTGATGCATCTTCTTTCTTGAGGTTCAGGAATGATTCTCTAGTTATCTGAAGAATTTCTCTCAAGCCTCTGTTTTCTTGCTGTAACCAGAGAAAGAAAAGGCATTTAATAGAGCTCCAGAAAGAAGTCAAGATAACTGCATTAAAAATCTCCCCTCCACTCTACTCCAAACATGTGTATAAGGATTAAAATACTGATTTGCAGTCAGGTAGTGCTGTGTTATCTTCTAAAATTAAGAACATTAGGTTTCTGACCCTCTTGCTCTCTTGAATGGGCATTAAGCATCAAAAAAAAAAGTCAAAACACGATGATGGTTGAGAAGGTCACTTGAAAAAAAATCTCTTGTTCTTTCTACACACCCTGTCCCATAATGTCCTGCTTTGCTAGCACTTTTACTTAAAAAGCAATAGTGTTGACCCTCCGATGATAAGCAACTGAGACCCCTTCAAGCACAACATTGTTACTAAAAGAATAATAATATTTAAAAGCTGAAGGTGGGGGTATAATTATTTGCATCCTGGTGTCTGATTCATTAGGATGAATTTGTATTCTTTTCTAGCTTTTTTTGGTACACAGACTGTAGGACACCAGCTGGAAAATCTCACACCAAGGCTACCTTACAACTCGTAACACAAGGCTGTTTGAATGCAGCTGACAGGACTGGATAAAGGAGCAGAGGGCGGAGGCGCCCAGCACCTTCGGACACTCTGAAGATAAAGGGACTGAGAGGGATGTCTGTGAGAAGAGCTATGAATGTTTAGCTAAAAGGTAATTTGGGCAGGGGGAGATTGTGACCACTGACTCAATGCACCCACTGACTCAAACGAGAACCAGACAAAGCATGTGTGCCATTTAGCACGGGAAGCAGGGAAGGTGTGTCTAAGAAAGGGATAAAAGCCACAAGCCAGCCCAAGACTGTGGGGAAAAACAAAAGACTTGGACTGATGCACCTGCTGTTGGCTGGGCTGAGGATGGAACCCAGACCCATGATCTCCATCTCTCTCCCTCCCTCTCTCATTTTACTCTTTTGTCTTTTGTGTCTTTAGTAAGTAACACAAGGCACAGACCCCACGCGCATGGTGAATGATAAAACATTTCTGCTACTAATGAGCCCAGTTATGGAATAAAAGTTTTTGTCTACCTGCAGAGCTGGTGCTTTGTACATACAAAACCCCTTGGTGTTAAAAGGTTTTTGAGGATACAGTCTCCCTGCTCCTGCAGGAGCAGCTAAGGCATGCCAACTCTCTACCCAGATCCAGGCAGGGAGAGTTGGGCAGTGACCTCTCAGCAATAAAGCTGGAGAGGTCCCAGCAGTGGTGAGCCCTGGCTGTGTGGGAAAAGCAAGAGCTTTGCTGCTACCTGGCTGTGTTAAGCAATGTAAAGTGCCAGGCATCTTAATTCACACTGAGGACTGGTGACCCTGAGTCACCTCTCCCTCCTTGCCTGGCGGGGCGTGACAGACACTTAAAAAAAAAAAAAAAAGAGAGAGCGCAAGCTTAAGCCAGTATATAAATATAAATCACTGATTTCTAGTGATGAAGTATTGCCTATGTGAGACTTGAGAGCAAGCTGTAGTGGGGAAAATAGTATTTACGGTCCTCTCAACAAGGGAAGCGTAACAAAATAGCACGATGAGTGACTGGTACAGTAACTCACAAGAGATACAGTAACTCAATATAAATAGTTGTGGTAACATGTACTCCCTCGCTCTTGGTGCCACTGCTGTTTTGATTTCGTACTTACCTCTAGCTGAGTGATGCGTTCCTGCTCTTTACAGCCATGCTTTTCATCAATTTCAATGGCTTTTCTCATTACTGCTGCCATTTCTGTAATTTGGTCCACATGCACTTGCAGCTCCTAAGATGTAAAGTTAAAATAACGGCAGCTTTAGTAATATGTTTTCTGCATTATTAAAAATAAGCAAAGCATTAAATATGCATTTTGACTGCTGTGCCACTTAATAAAAATGCAAACACAGGCCTAAATTTGAGGAAGCAAATTCTCTGTAATTTTACAGCATAAGCAGCTACTGTGGTCCTGTTTATTTAAATAAATCTCGTTTGCCACACAGTAATCCCTTTTATAAGAATTTTATATAAGCTTAAATGACTGTGTCTTCCATAGCTTCCACATCTTCCAAGTTAGCCACGTGCTTGCTCCAACAAGGCCTTCCTGTGCTGCAGGGATTTATGTATATCATTTTGGATATGCAGAAAGACTAAACTCATCAAAGAACAGCAGGGTATGTGTCATTCTTTCAATTTGTTTGAAAGCTGATCTCAAGTCCAGTACAGCCAATACCAGCCCATGAGTAGGCATTTATCTCTTAAGACCAGGTGAAGTGGTGTTCCTTACTGTGTCATGTATTAGGAAACTCAGATCTGTCCTTAGCTCTTTTTTAGACACTTCTGCTTGAATCCACTTCTAATTCCAGCTCATCTGGGATCTGGACTTCAGAGGTCCTTGTACTCGCTGAGTTGTAAGAAAAACTTTTGTGTCCTTGCTGATCTCTTTGTGTCCATTCATTAACACTGGTAGGGTGCTTTGCTATTATAAATAACTGCTCCATCTCACTGAAAGATTCAAGAAGCAGGAAAAAGAGCAGTAGTTTGGTTTGCTCTTGTCCTGTTCCACTGCTGGGAGCAGGATGACAGGAGCCATTTATGTAGGCATAACAGCCTTTGCAAGGAAGCTAAATTTTAGATAATCTTTGCTGTTTGCAGAGAAGTCATCTCTTACCTGGACCTTGTTGGCTCAGGTGATGGTTTATTTGCTCACTGGCCAACCTATCAGCAGGAGATACTTAAAGGGTCACTGCTTCTTCTCCCCTGTAGATCTAGGTAAAGAGCCTATACCTTTGGCATTCATTGCTGTTCAGTTAAGCCAAATACTTTAATAGTATTTCCAGAAGCTTTTATTTTTCACTGTCTTTTTCTCAACTTGTCTTTTACTCCCACTCTACTATCACACCAGCCTATCCATGTCTGACCTGACTTTTGGACAAAATTCACAATAGCTAGTAACTACTATCAGGAAAAGCAAAACAGTAGGACTGAAATGAAGAACAGTATAGACTAAAGTTAAATCCCACCTTTGACTGGAGGTCCAAACTTCTAGCAGGTGATCAGTCTCCCTTTAAGCTACTAGGAATGATTGAACCACCATACAAAACTACCTCACCTGGAATCGTAAAATTTACCTGACCAAAACAAATATACATTACTAAAACGAACATTGGCCCCTTCCATCCTTTCTTCTCTGCCATTCTAATTGCCAAAGCTATGGGTTAGCTGTTTACTCATTAAATGCCCACTCATAGCATAGAGGGGAATAAAAAAAAAGGGGGGGTGGGGAATGGGACTTGTTGCAAATCTTTATTTTCTTCTCTGTTTCCACTGAAGGTCATTACATGAAACATTTTTTCAATGAAAAACTAAATTTAGCATGAAAGGAAGCTGTGGTCAGTGGTACAAGAATGAGTTGGCAAGGATGTGCCCTTGCGAAGGACTGGGAAGGAGTTAGTGGGTTTCAGATATACTGCTGTCCTCCCTACTTCCTGTTTTGCAAGCTTACGTGGGCTCTTGATCAATACGATTTAGGGCCTGTTCCAAGGTCACTAACGTTAGATCAGATGCTAACACAAAACTGTAAGGTTCTAGTCTGGAAGGCAGACGTGTAAAACTTAAGATGCTGTAATATCAAACAATGCAATCAAAGTGTTTCTTTATGAAGATAGCCTCAAACATTTACAAACACTTTTTGTATCACTCTTTTTTATTTGCCATATTTTTTTTTTCTCCAAAGAGAAAAAAAGAAACACACATGTTTATAGGCTTTGTTTCAGTTGAGTGAATTCAAACAGCACAATTAGGTCAGGGTCATTACTACCAACACATGTTTTTTTGTGCATACAACACTGCTAAAATAAATGGATTTTCTGTTTAAAGGAGGTGCTTGTTGATCTGCTGAAATCAATGATTTTTTTAATAATCTTTTGTAAATAGGCACTAAAGTTAATAGCTGCCACTTGAGAGAACAACAATTACTGGTACTAGTGAGATTAATTCCTTTGGTATGATGGATTTCTCAGTTAACAGGAGAGAAGTATTTAAAGACTGCTTCAAGGTTGTTCAATCTTACTAAATGTGAAGGCTGATCAGAAGAAGAAATAATGAAATTCCAGAAATCCTAAGTGTCAGGATAAGCATGATAAATCCTCTTCATCAGGCGTTCTTGTGGGATCAGATTTAACCAAAATGTTGAAGCCTAAATCCCTGTTTAAATAATATTGTTCAACATTTTTTTTTTTACCTCAAGCTTTTAACCCATAGAAGCGTTCCTAAATGAAATTTCCAAGTCCATTTCAGTTCAGATATAATTTTTACCCTCTTGTCTTGGATATAATTTACCTTCTTCTGAGGCTGTAAGATATCTTATACCATGTGCTAAGTAACTTCTTTTGAAAAGGATATATACCTATAATATTTTAGGAATGTATGATAAAGACATAGTTCTAATCCAGTAAATTCTTTCATACCAATCTAAGTAGTCCCATTGATTTCAATGACACTAATTACATACATGTGATCTTGTAATGAGGTAAGAAAACATCAAATTCTTAAACTTTATTTTCCCAGTTTGCAGACTTAGTTTGTTGAGGTCAAAGATGATCAAACACTTAGAACTAATGTTTGTCTACACAGTTACACTGCTCTGAGATGATTACGTTTCATTTAAAATATAATACTTTGTTAGAAAGCTGCTGTTCAGATATGTCAGTGACCTAGAATCATGAATTTTCCTGAAAATACATTAAAAAAGCCTAAACTATATATTAAAACTATAAAAACAAATATTAAACTTATATGAAGCTGCTGAATACTCATATATACCTCCCTCATGATAGTATACAAAGATGCTGCTTGACGGCACTTCACTTTTCTAGTTTTCAAACACTATAACATGAAGCACACCTAATACCAGCACCTTTCACCACCCATCAAGCATCTCTGGCTGCCCTGGATTCTACTTAGCAATCCTGATCAGTAGCGAAACAACCACGGGTTGAAGCAGGAAAGAGAAGTGTGTGCTCAGTTATTCAATATTCAAAAGAGCTTTTAAAATAGATTTTTAATTCAATATTCAAGTATTTTTTTCCCCATAAATTTTAAAAAAAAGCTTATTCCTCCTACTCTCCCCAGTAAGCACAGGTTTACTAGTTATTTGTTGGAGTCACAAGTGTAAGTTAAAGCCAGTGTAAATGTTTGATTGTTACTGGGATCTATGGGCATCTGGAAATATAATAGGGCAGTTGCCTTAAAGACCTAGGCAAAACAAAAGTAAATTAAGTAGATACAGTAATGAAATGTTACTTGATAAAAGCTTAAATCAGAAGCTAGTAAGGTTGACGTACTAGACTGATCAAGTTTCCTGTTCGCCTTTCATGGACTGGATTCTAAATAGTAGAACTTGTTAGTACAATGATATAAAAACTGAGACAAAGTGAGCTTTAAACTGATCCACTACAAACTAACTTAAGCGTTAACTGAAAAAAAACAAAGGCAAAAAACCACCTCATTACCTTGGAATGTTGCTCTTTTAACTTCATTATAATACTTGGATCATCCTTTTTGCTCGCCATAAGCAACCTAAACATCTGTTCTCTGTACTTGCTCATTATGAGTTCCAAAGCAGACTGATGTTCTTCAAGAGATGTGCGTAGTTCTACCAAGATAATTTTAAATTCAGTTAAAGTTTAACAGAGAAGAACTGAAACAAAATGCAAAAGTACTTCAGCTTGAGAGAACCAAAATATCCCCTTAGTTGAGTGTCCCCTCTCTGGGCACCAAGAAGTCTACGTAGGCTCTGCAAATGTCTTCGATGGTGACTGCCCTGGGACAATTCTTGTTCAGTCAGAAACAGGAAGTCTTTTGTTAATATGACTTCATATTCAATCCCTTTAGCTGATATAAGCCATCTTGAGCGTAGCTGAGAAGGGCTTTACTCTAGCCACGATAAGCAACACTGTACAAAAGCCACAAAAAAGTTTACAGATCTGTTTTAATCTGCACCTTGGTAAAAGAAGAGTTAAAACATGCTTGTGTTCAAAATATATTAAGTCAAAGGACAAATAACTCCTGAGATAAGGCAAGATTCATACAAATTGAGATCACTGACTCCTTCGCTGAATGTAAGTGTTAGAATACCTAATCCTATTCCAGGAGGAACAGTATATTCCTAGTGTACAGAATTCCAGAAGGAATTATACTACTGCACTTACACTACAACTTGTCCTGACTGCTCCTACAGTAGTTATTTTTAGCAGTGGGAAAACACACTTCCAAATAGATACCTATATTGTAGGAGTAATATTGATCTCACTTGTGCTGAACATCAGATAAGGATGGAAGAAGTCATTTTCCATAACCCTCTTTCCATTAAAGCATAGACCCAGTGGCTGGATGTTAGGACTCTCTTATTAGATTGCATTATGAACAGTTAAACCGACAAATTGAGATTAGAGGCAAAAATTTCTTCTACAACAATATTTAGAGAATAGATCAATGGTAGAAATATCACTAATTCCAGTGGTGCAGGATGGAACTTGTAAAGGATAGAATATTCATGTTTTACCTTTATTTTCCTGTTGCAATTCCCTAATCTGTCTGTTTTCTTGTTGGATACCCATCACTAATGTAGACCGAGGACGATGTCTTGCTACTTCATTGAGCTCTTGAATTTCTTCTTGGTACTAGTTATTAAAAAAAAAAACAACAACAAAACCCAAAACCAAAAAAACAACCACAACATATTTGAGTAACTGAAGGCAAACATTGTTCAGCTGGTCACAAAGGACCAGTTCTAATGTCAGTCGAAGTCTGTAACCAGCAAGATAATGCCTGTTTTTAAATAATAATATCAAACAAAGAAGAACACTTCTGAAGGTGTTGCTAACATAGTGACCTTTAAAGACACAAAAGTATCACCTTTCTTTTGTTTCATACCTCAGGTGTGTGTCATGGGCATTATTCAAATTTCAATTAATGCAGGTCAAATTCACCATCAAATCATTCAAAACTGATATACATACGGGAAAGAAAAACCATGAGGTATTAATCTCTAGATATTTACTGTGGCTTCCCAGTACCTTAACCCACAAGGCTGTATGGGTACACGGACCTGAACAAATGGATCCTGACTCTTAACAAATGGGTAAATTCAATACTCTTGATCTGAAGTTATGAAACCGCTGCATGACTAGTTATACCGGGATGAAGCACATGCAGGGTTTTATTCTTTTACAGGCCCATTAATATGTCCTGTGTTCTATTAAAATGACAGGATGAACTCCCATATGGAAAGTTAGTAGACACCTTTATAGTTTTTCCAGAAGGTCCTTAATCTAAAAAAGTGCCTTGACTAGCTTAACATCAGAATGGATGTGATCACGAATAAGCCTAAGAGGCTGCTTTGAAACAAAAGGAGACTGTGAAAAGATAAAGTATTCTGAACAGAAGAAAGCATGACAGGGCCTCTGTATGATTAAATATACACGTTGAAGTTAATAGAACAAGTAGTGTTTCATAGAAGAGCAAAACACAAGATACCACACAATGGTTTGTTAAGATACCAACCCCATTTCTACCAGTGTTCTTCAAACAAATGCTGGTTTTCAATATTTAAGCTGGAGTAACAGAGAAAACTTCTTCACAGGCTCAAACTAAACATATAAACAACCTATTTTTAGATCATAGTCACACCTATAATGAAAATACTTAGTATGGTATTAAAGGATTAACTAAATAACATACTGATTCTACGTTGTACAGTAGCACACAAAAATTATTTTAAATTATGTGTTTCCAAGTTATTCTTTTAATGGAGTAAACAAAGTTGAAAATCAAACCTGTTTCATTGCTTCAACCCGCTTGTTAAGAGCTGTAGTCTGTTCGATAAGCGCTTCTGCTGCGTTGTCGTGTTCCCTTAGCCGTTCCACCAGTGCTTTCGCATCTGCTAAGGCTTTTTCAATTGTGCAACTCATTTCTAAAGATTAGAAATGTATTATTTTCACAATACCACCTGTTTGCTATACAGAGAACAGCTATCTATGTGAGATATAGGTATAATATATTTTTTTAAGTCTAAAGTAGCTGGATACAACCTTTCCCTCAGAAACAACCAGACATTTTGTTGCCTTTTAGGAGTGGGGAAAATTTATCTATCTTATGAATACCCTAAAGCCTGTCTTTCCTTTTCCTCCTTTTTATTTGCTGTTGAGACTATATATCAGAACAAGGAAATGGAAGTTAACTTTGTGTTCTGAGGAGACTATCAATATACGAAATGCTAAAGGAGGACTGTTGAACATATAGAAACTAAAGAGGTGCGTGTCCTTCTTACGTAGCAGAGAAGAAAAAAAAAAAAGAATATTACATTAACAATTTCATTTTTCAATACTACCTTTTTTTTTGTTTGTTTGTTTAATGTGCCCTCCTACCAGTCAGGTATACTTCAAGATACTTCAGAAGTATAAATCCAGCACAGAAGAGAATGCCAAAGGACTACAGTGGGCTGGAAGATTTTGATGGATTAAATCAGTAGAGAAGGAACAGCTCAAACTGACAAGAGTAGCGAAAATTACTTGGGGGAAAATTCACAAAACTAAAGGCTTGTATCTTTTCTTCCTGTCTATAAATGAACACAAACATCACTGCATGGAATGAAACTGTAAAATTTTCAACAGCATAGAGGAGGACAGCAACTTAGCCAAGAAAAAGAACCGACTGCATAGTTAAAATATCAGCCTTCTAATTGCTAGAATTGCCAAACTTGCAAAACCTTTGTACATACTAGCATTTCCCAAGCTTTTAACACCAAGTTTTTTCATACTTGTTCTTGATTAAGTTTCGAGACTGAGATTTTCAGCCCAAGTTTTTATTTTCTTTTAAGAAATCTTGCACTTTTTCTGCTGAAAAGGAAATCTACTTAAACTCCTTGAAGGGTTCTTCAGCAATCAGACAGCAGCTAGAGGTTTATTAGACTTATGGACCTTATTAATATAAGGCTTGATATTTGGTTCAGGAAACTTTCTAAGGTACTGAAAGATCAACTAAATCCATTTCTTAGCCAGGCTGTTTGCTAAAGAGAAATTTTTGTAAGAGTAAATGGTCAGTGAGCCTTTCCTGAGCTACAGGAAAAAAAAAAAAAATACCCAAGCTGATTTTCGAACTTTCTTAGGCACCTTGACAAATCATAGCCTAGGATCTTTAAGCCAAGCTTAAAGAAATCCTCACATTTTCCCCAACTGACCTTTTCCCACTGTCCCAGGTAAGTAGCAGAAGTAAGGATATTTCAAACACCGGAAATTCCACCATTCCCCTCAAAAAATTTACAAACATTGCAGGAACATCCTGCCCTCGTGCATTAAGGTGGGGGAAAACTAAGCAAGACAGCAGCAGAGTTGGGAATGTTCTCTCTGAAGAGCTGCAACATCCTGCGAGGTTTAACCTCTCAAAAGCATTTTAACTGGGATAATTTCATAAGCTGCTCCCTCTGCGCTGAGGAGCACATGTAATATAAAAGCAGTTAGTTTAGTTTTTCTTCATAGATGGGTCTTTTGGGGACCCTACCGTCACAGAAAGGTTGAGACTTGCTTACTGACAAAGGAGCTCCCATGAGCAAGCTTTGCGCACAGCACAACTGTGTAACCTGGGTTTTCTGCGATTCACACGTTATCGAAAGCATCGTTGTTTTGACATGCACGAGTTCCCTATGCACATTCGTAATGTTAATTCCTTCTTCTTTATCAACTAGAGTTTTCATTTTAACTTCCATATGGCGTATATAGGTATCTGAGGTATCAAGTCAAGCTCTTCAGCAGACTGGTGTGTTATCCCAGGTAGTTTATGTATGCACTCTGATTTAGCAGTTTGAGCTCTTTTTAATATTATTTAGATCGGGATCGTACTGCCTTGTTTTTAAGCAGCTGCTTTTCTTGCTCCTCATTTCTCCTTCCAATTCTGGCCTCACGTTCTTGCTGGACTACAAAAATATTCCACACCAACAGGCTAAACTGTTACAGAATTTTACTTAAATCAGATCCATATGTAAGGAGAATTTGAAGAGCAGTCCTTAACTCAATTCACAGGTCACAAATTCTCTAGCCAGTACAAAACAAAGCCTCTCAGGCCTCTCCACAAGCTTGGGATACATTTGGGACTCGGGCTACAATGCAGCTAACACTTCTAATAATTTGTACGCATCAATATAAATTTTAAACACAGTAAGTATTCACCTTCCCCTGCACTTTCTCATTTTGACCCACCCAAGATAAAAAGAAACTCGTGCATAGCAAAGCCACCGGTGTTCTTTTTCACAGTGAACGAGTTGGGGAAGACACTTGTGTGCCTTGCGTGGAACGCAACCGCACAAATTCGGCAGTGAGCAGCTACCCTCACAGGGCAGCAGCTTCAGCAGGCCAGAGGCCATCTCCTGCTTTCAGGCAGGATCTGTCCCTCAAAAAAGAGAATTGCTATTTGTATCATGGTAATTCACAGCGGCTCCAAATTTTGGCTGGGATTCCTTTGGGCAAGACACTGGCCCTAATCCCTGGAATTTAAAATTCTCTCCAGATGTCATCTGGCTGCCTATAAAAACCAAAACTTTAGTCTTGTCCTAAAATAGATCTAAATCTGTGAGTTAACCTGGGCATATAGGGAAAAAAAAAACAACCAAGCAACCAATTAATCAAATTATTCGATCCAAACCAATTCTTACTGTATATTAATTAATTGTATATTAATTTTTTTACAGGCAAGAGGACTATGGTAGTTAAACCTAATGATTCCTGAACTCTACCCTACAAGCGATGCCCAGCTGCAAATACATCTGCTAGTCTGCAAGCGTACCAACAGGGCCAACAGGTAGCAAGAGCAACTACTCAATCAGCGTAGCAATACTGCTACTACGTATTCATTTCCTGTCACTTCCTGCTATTTACTAATTGCTTTCATTATCAAATTTGGCCGCCCTTAAAAAAAACAACAAACCAAACCCAACCCAACCAAACCACAAGAACAAAAAACCAAGAGCAAACATCTTCCTGCAGCTGCAGCCTCCCTCTACTTTTCTGCGTCTTCTTCTACCCCCTCACTAAAAAAAAATCACCTTTTCCCCATCGCTTAGCGCTTCGGGTTTTTCCCCCTCTCCACAGTTACCAGCTTCGCAGAACTGAACCACGCTGCCGCTTCTGAGCGTTTCAGGCTGGGTCCGAAGGCGCACCGAGCGCGCCCCGGGCAAAAGGAGAGCCCCACCGGCCCAGCCGGCGCCGCCGCTCCCCGCAGCACCAAGCAGGCGC